GTGGCTGAATTTGTTACACACCACCACACGGAAGGAAGGAAGGACGGAAGGAAGGAAGGAAGGAAGGAAGGAAGGAAGGAAGGAAGGAAGGAAGGAAGGAAGGACCCACCCTCTGGAATAACCAAAACCCACTGGAGATGCTGGAAGTTGCACTTCTTGGCTTACCATGAAATAGGAAAATGCTAAATGATCCAGGGCATCTTCAAGGCTTCCCTCATCTTCCGTGTTCCAGTTCCCGTAGGAGATCCGGAAGAGGCTGACAGCTTCTTCCATCCACAAGATGGAGTGGTAGTAATCTCCCATATCGTAAGCAACCTGTAAGAAACTGGAGCACATAAGATTGCAGGCAAAACCCACATGGGTTGTTGCAACAGGAGAATAGAGTGGTCACTCCTGGACTTATGTCACTGCTACCCCAAACAATTGGGTTATTTTGGAATAAAATTGGTCCTCCTTCACGGTTGGACATCCTAGAGCCCTGCACGGCCTGGGGCCAGATTACCTGCAGGACCATCTTTCTCTGAGCTTCTCCCATGAGTTCTCATGGGGCAGGTGCATCCAGGCCTCCTTGAATAAACAATGCCATTTTGGAGGACCCACACAGGCCCAGACAGCCTCTGCAAAATCCTTGGGTTGGGCCTCAGAAGTTCTCCAGAAATTGACACCAGACTGTAATTGTTAAGGATATGGGAGGAGGCAATTATAATTAATTAATTAGTCTAATTAATTACAGCAAGATGGATGGTCTCAATAACAGTGGTAATGGGTGTACTGTTGGAAGACCTGAAGGACCAGGCTGGGGACAGATCATCCTGGAGAAGGTCTACCTATGTAGTTGCTAAGAGTCAACATCAGTCAATCAATCAATCAAATTCACTATAATTAAAAGTAGATTAAATCAAATTTAGGTGTTTTCCCCCAAGGGTATCCATAGAGGGAGGTAACAAAAAATCAAGATGATGACTCTTGGTTGTGGCCCCATCTTGACTTTTTTTGGATTTGGAGTTCAGGACACTCTTTTGCTGAGATTATAGGTGTTTATAGAATTTGTGAGATCCTGTATACCACGTCATCTCACAACTCCTGGCCATAGGTTTACTGACCATGTGGCACATGACATCACCATGGCAGGTATGTAACGCTACTGATTGGTTCCTGGGCACCCCAAAGGGATGAGCTTTGATCGTGTTGCAGCTGTTGCCATCTTGCCTTTTTTGACCTCACCCCCAGACCCTACAACCCACAAGCAACTTAGCAAAACTAGACCCTCAAGCCAACCAGCCAACAGCTAGATCACACCCTTTGGGGCCAGGGGAACTCTCTGGGGTCCTTGCCTGAGGAATCGTCTGTTGGCTATCTTGGCTTCAGCCACTCACCTTACCAATGTGGAAGCAGTCATCAGCAGACAAGGAAAAGTCCTGCCTGGGATGGTAGATGTCAGGATGGCCACTGCTTGTCCTCCGGAATCTTCCTTTGGCCAAGTCTTTGACGCTCAGAGCGTAGACATCCTGAAGTCGCATTAGTGCTCGTGCTGCTCCTTCAAGGTCCTCAAAGAGTGGTAGATTCTCCTCTAATCGATGATAGTTTATCTTCAGGGCTGAAAAGTCAATTGGGTTGGGACAACAGCATCAGTGATCTTTGCTAGAAAGCTGATGGAACCCCTTCTTTTTCAAGACTCATAAGCCACTTCTCTAACTGGTCAGAAACCAGGTAGTTTTTCCCAGTCTCGGCAACTTCCAAAGTATACAGACTTCAACTCCCAGAATTCTCAGCAATGGTCATGAGCAGTTAGGGAATTCTGGGAGTTGACGCCTAAACTTCTGGAGGGCACCCAATTGGAGGATAATACATCACTCTTCCACTGTGGTTTATTCAACTCATGATTAAAATAAGCCATATGTTAGCGCAAGGTGTGAATTCAGTGCATGAAATATATCACCTGAGCACTGTGAAGAGGGAAGAGAGAATGGCCTTGAAGGACAGAAGGAAGAGCCAAAGGCTCCTGAAGCTGGGTCAAGAAAGTAACTTGAGAAAGTGCCTCAAACAAGCCTAGTTCACAGGAAGATAAACTGAGGGAGGGGGAAGCACATTCAGACTTGCCAGATTTGATTACTATAACTTTACAATAAAAGTAGTCCTGACCTATGTGGCCTTGGCTTCCTAACCTGCTCTGCCTCATAGGGCTGACCCGTTGGGGTTACTCACACTTCTTTTTGGGGTCAAAGTTTGTCTCTGGGACCAAGGGCAAGGAAAAGGGATGGTGGGCTTATTCTGAATGGCTAGGACCTGTGAAGTCATGAACGCCCTTTGCCATTCCCAAAAAAGGTTCTTCAACTATTTTAAAGCTAATAGGCTTTTGCAAAAAAAAAAACAGGAAAGAAAATGTGCTTCACTTAATAATTATATATGCATCCTTTTTTTAAAAAATACAGCGGGTAAATTGCCACGGAGCTACAGGAGAAGGAGCACGTAGGAGGGAAATGGGACTCCTGATTTTGTGGAACTTTAGACTCAGCCTCCTTCCAGTGGGATATTCCTACAAAATTAACCCTCCTGAAACAAAGCCAGTGTTGAAGTGCATTGGAAAAAAACCATCTGGCATCTTTCTGTAATTGCCATGTATATTTTTTCCTCCAGCTCTACATTCTTTCCTGTTGCTAAACTTGCAAGGATGTCCCTGTGTGTGTGTATATATCTATAAAAGAGCTCCCTTTACTATCTTGACGCAGATATGCCTAACTACACTCTGATGCACCTAAAAAAAGGCGCATGATTCTGAGTGCCGTGTTGATCTTTTTGACCCCCGATCCCTCTGTAGGACTTACCCCTGAGCTCAGAAGGTCTGATGGGAGGCAAAGGAGTAGGGAGACCCCCCACCCACCCTCCGAAACCCAGTCAAACTGAATAATGAGGGGTCAGGCCTAAAAAAGGAAGATTTTTCCTTACGCTGTGCAGAACTGAACTTTGCTCCTGAAAGATGGGGTGAGAATGGGCACTGTCTTAGATCAGTGTTTCTCAACCTTGGCCACTTTAAGATGGGTGGACTTCAACTCCCAGAATTCCCCAGCCAGCCTT